ACCCCCTGCAGGCCAGGTCTGCAGAGAACAGGGCAGGGGAGGGGCAGGAGGGAGCACCTGGCTATAAGCACCTCAGACCTCCTCAGACCTGTTCTTGGGGAGCTGGGTGGAGTGAGCCTGGAAACGAGGAGAGTGAGCCCCAGGGAGCATCCAAGGGTCTTATGCTGGCAGGCCCTTCTCTGTGGTCACCACAGAAGCACTCAAGGTGACAGAGTGGAGCAGGGAATCCATCTACAACAGAAAGCTGGAGGCAACTCCCTTGCTGCTCTGCTCTAGAAATTTTATGCCAATACTTGTATTTGCAGTTGAAGCTGTCTCAGTAGATAACGTTCTGTTTCATTTTCTTTCCCCAGAACTCCTCCAAACCTTATTCTATAGAAACATACCCAGGGATTCATATCTTAAGTACATTGCTGGAGAAGCATGGAGTTCAATAAACTCTCCCCACCATTTCTGTGCATATTATCTTAATAGGATTTGTTTTACTTTCACGGATCCCTTCAAAAATACCGAAAAGCATAGCGATCAATATAAGATACTTATGCATCGGCGATTGAGAATAAACAAGTGTTAAATTATGCTATATTTCCCCCTTGTTTTTTTTTAAGAAATAAAGTTCTTCACACTTAACCTTGGATGGATAAATTGATACGTGACGATAACAAACAGTGAAATGTTAATGGTACAGTTGACACGGTGGGTGTACAGATGTTCACTGTACAATTCTTTCTGTATGCTGGAACATTTTCTTATTAAAATGTGATGGGAAAATACACTTGAAAAACATGGTTCAAGCCCTGCAGTCCCTCCCCTGCCTTTGGATATCCTAGAGTCAGTGTGTAATATTTCTGCATGTTTGTATATATTTTCTATACACGTATTTAAACATAAACTACATATAAGATTGTTTGTGTTTATAAAATCTTGAGAAATAGCCCATATTCTTTTGCAGCCTGGTCTTTTTACTGCATTTAAGATTTTTGGAATTTATCTTGGTAATATACATACACTATTGGATTCTTTTTAACTGCTATATCCCGTTACATAAAAATGAGGTTTGTCTTCCCGTTCTCTTAACGAGTGGCATTTAGGTCCCTACCACTTTCTAACCCATACTCTGCAGGAGTGAGCATCCTTGTGCACATCTCCCTGGTCATGCTTCTGAAGTTTCTCTGGAAGTGCAATCCCGGGCTGTATAGAGAGTGCAGACCTTAGACAGCCTCCGCACTGCCCTGTGATCTACAAAGTGCTTGGACCAATCCACGCGCCCACACCAAGTCACAGGAGTGTCTCTTCCCATAGAGTTTGAGATCAGTCTTACTACTTTTTTATCTTTCTTTCTGCCAATTCCACTTTTTACAGATGTACAACTTACTGACATCAATTACAATAACTGGCTGTGCAATCCTTCCTTAATCAATGCGATTTTTCCATCACGGTTAATCCCCGTTCGTCCCCGCCCTCCTATCCCTGGTAGCCACTAAGAAACTTTGGTTTCTGTACATTTGCCTTTTCTTATCTTTTTGTGTAATTGAGACAATATTTGTCCTTTTGTGGTTGACTTCTTTTACTCAGCATAATGTCTTCAAGCTCTATCCATACCTGTTGCTGTTGAGTCAATTCCGACTCATAGACACCCAATACAACAGAGCAGAACTGCCACATAGGGTTTCCAAGGAGCAGCTGGTGGGTTCGAACTGCCAACCTTTTGGTTAGCGGACGTAGCTCTTAACCACTACACCACCAGGGTTAGCATGTATCAAAACTTCATTTCTCCTACTCGCTAAGTAGTATTCCATCGTATGTATGTATCACATTTTGTTTATCCATTCATCTGTTGATGGGCATTTAGGTTGTTTTCACCTTCTGGCTATTGTGAATAGTGCTGCAGTGAACACTGGTGTACAAGTCTCTGAGTCTCTGCTTTCAAGTCTTTTGGGTATATACGTAGGAGTGGAATTGCTGGATCATATGGTAGTTCTATTTTCAGTTTTTTGAGGAACTGCTGCACTGTATTCCACAATGGCTGCACCATATTGCATTCTCACCAGCAAGGATGATAGTTCCAATTTCCCCACAGCCTCACCACCAAGTGTTAATTTCTGGTTTTTTTGGTTTTGTTTTTAATCTTAGCCACTCTAGTGGGAGTGAAATGGTATCTCATTGTGGTTTTGATTTGCATCTCTCTGATGGCTAATGATGCTGAGCATCTTTTCATGTGTTTGGTGTCCATTTGAATGTCCTCTTTGGTCAAATGTCTATTCAAGTCCTTTGTCCATTTTATGATTCGGTTATTTGTCTTTTTATCAATTTGATTGATAATGTTGCATTTGGCTTTCAAAATGTGGGCCCTAAGAGTTTATGTACACTCTTGGTCCCCAACCCCAGACCTACTGAGTCAGAAACTCAGGCTGGGGCCCTGCAATACGTATTTTTACAAGCTTTCCCAGGATCTGAGGTACACTCACTCAAGCATGAGATCCACTGGTCTAGATACTATGAGTTGGAACCAACTCAAAGGTAACTACCGATAAAAGAAAACATTTTTTCATGTTTATTAAGCCATTCAGCTTTCTTCCTCTGCAAATTAGCTACATGTCTTTGCCCATAGTTGTTTTATGTGCTCTCTTTCTTTCTTCTTTGATCTTTGACAAGTCTATTTTGTCTGGCATTTTAAAGAACGAGATTTTTATTTCATTGATCCTAATTTATTATCTCATTGATTTCTGCCTTTACTAGTTCTTTTTCCCCCTTTAGTTTACTCTTTGTTTTTATTTTTATTTTTTTTAGTTAGATTCTAGTTCATTAATATGTCATCTTTCTCTTTTATAATAAATACATTTGGAAGTAGAAGTTTCTAAGTCCTGCTTTAGCCACTCCTCCCATTTCATTATAGTTCAGTTCTACACAATGACTTATTTCCATTATGATTTCTTCTTTGAGCTAATAAATATTTAGAAATGTGATTTTAAGTTGCCAAGTACATGGATACTTTAGTTTTCTTGTACTTGTTGACTTCCATGTGTGTTTTGCTATGGTCTGTAGGACATGGAGTTTCTGGTTTCTGCTGAGACATCTGCTGTGCTTACAACATGGTCAGTTTTAATACATGCTTTGAACTTCCAAGGTGCAGCATCCTACAGCTGTCCATTAAACCAAGGGTGCTCACTGTGCTGCTAAATTCTTTTTTTTTAAAATTTTTTTATTGTACTTTAGATGAAGGTTTACAGAACAAATAGTTTCTCATTAAACAGTCAGTACACATATTGTTTTATGACATTGGTTAAGAACCCCACGACGTGTCAACACTCTCCATTCT